TCATGATTGAGAAGATGTACCTGTACTGACTAGCCGGACTGCCTCGTCCACATTTGGCAAGGGACTTCTGTCCTTGACGGTGTATTTGTTTAGTTTCCTGTAGTCGCACACCCAGCGTGGTAAGGCGTTCGGGTCCTTTTTGGGAATTATCATGGACGGCGAGGCGTATTGGCTTGTTGACTTTCGGATTCGACCTGCTTTCAGATGCTGATCAATGAGTTTTTTCCACGCAGGGAGGTACTTCTGCGGGTAGTTGTACTGCTTTTCGTTGATCACAACATTTGGATCTGTGAGTACAATGCGGTGTCTGACTTTTGACGCCACATTCTGCCCTTCAGGTGGAATGAAGTCATCTGGTTCATCATCCTCGACTGCTGGTAATTCATCTGGGAACAGTTCTGCGAATTCATTCAAGACTCTCTCTTCTCTCGCCGTCAGGTCACGTTTTTCTTTCACTCGTTCCAGGTTTTGCATGACACATGATACCATTGACTTTGTCATGACAGACGTAATTTCATTTTTCACAGATTGTTCAATAAGTATCGTCTTAGTAGGTACATGGATGACTGTGCGGTTCCTGAGTGATACATCTAAATGAAACTTTTCCAAGAAGGGTGTACCCAAGATGACATCGTATGTTGAACCCAATGGTGCGATTTTGAAAAAGGTGGAGCCAAAGCGCAACTTCGGATCTGCCGAGCTGACATTAGCAAAGCAGAATTCCTTGATCACGTGTGGAGCAGCGGTCGTCGAAATGGCCAAACTCACCTCTACAGGTGTCACAAGCGGTCTACGCGGGATTCTCGCCTTGTTCGCTGTTGCCTCCGACATTAGATTGGTCTCGGCTGCAGAGTCAATTAATGCACGTAAAGGAGTGCCGTTAATTAGTAACTCCAAAATGATTGATTTTGTGCGAGTTTTGTTTTCAACGCACCCTGCTGCCTCCTCTTCTTTCATGTGAGCCACCAGAATACGGTCCGCCTCCTCATATCTTTCTAATTCACTTTCAAACATCTCTGGAGCCTCGCTGAACGATCGACCTTGACTTATTGCTCTAACCGGGATTGGTTGTGTTGCTTGCGCTGGTCTTCCCGCAGGTCTCTGAGTAGGAGCGCCTGCTGGTGCGACAGGTCTGGACGGCGTGTTTGTTGGCGGGTTTGAGCGACGCTGTGGTCTAGGTCCGGGGTCGAAAACACTGAGGGGCGGAAGACTGATGTAGGGTCCTTTGATTGGTCCTTGGCAATGCGGATTGCCACATTTTGTTCTACATGCTGAGCAAATACCTAGGTGGCGGAGGTATTGGTGGAAATGCCACGCGTAGTCTGCGCGTTGCTCAGCGGTGCGACGGTCGTTCGTGCCGGATGCGTTCATTGAGTTGGCTTGTCGCAAATTGGGTGGTTGGTATGCAGGTAAGCTTGCCTGGAGATTTCGTCTAGGAACCATGTGGCTGGAGTCAAGTAAAAGCCAGATGTCCGAAGCGCTCGCTACAAACTCGAGCCATTTAAAAGGTGTGACTTTCAAGAGACGTCGATCTGCGACCCATCGTTGGAAGACCTCTGGTGCGCCCCAGACAACATATTCAGCCAGATTTTTCAAGTTCAATGAGCTCTCTACTTCGATAAGTGTGTACAGATCTCGAGCACGGTTAGCGTAGGTCTTGAAATCTTCGCTTTGTTTCATCTTCAGTTGTCGAATAGATTTCTCCGCGTCGTCCAACCAGCCTGTCGGTAACGTTGCTATAGCCATTGAATGCATGACTTCGGACCAAGGTAGTCCTGCCAACTCATCCTCCGAACGTCGTAACCAATTACCTGCCCGAGGCTCCACCACGATTGACCCCAAGATGATCAGCCGCTCGCCGATGTCGTCTAGTTGCTTTAGTCGGAAGAATTGTTCGACTAGACGGCGCCAGTTGAACAAGGCTGCAGGGTCCTCGGCTGGTCCCGTGAACTTGGGGGCCTCTGACAGTTTGATGTCGCAGGCACGTACCAGTTTGTCGGAAGGGTCCGCTTCATGTCGATTTACAACAGGCTGGGATTCTTGTCGTAGTGCTGGTTGCATGGCCTGAGCGAAGGAGACTCGCCTTGCTGTGCCGGGACTCGTCGCGTTTTCGGCTTCACGCCATCCAGGGCTCGGCTCAAAGACGTAGGCTGATGGTGTCGATGAGGCCGGATGGGTTGACTGAAGTGGTGTGGTTGTCGTGGCGTGTTCCGGAATGGCTGGTAAGGTCGTTGATGTACCTTCCTTCGGCGGGATTCTGGGCCCCAGTGGTGTCGGGGTGCTTGGCGATTGTTGTTGCGACATGGTGCTACTGAAGCGTGCCGTGCCAGCAGATGATCGTTGAGCCGAAAGGAACTGAGACATCGACGCCTCGAGAGCATTGATGCGATCCCTATCAGATTGAAGGGCCGCGATCTCGACTTGGAGTCGTGCGATTGTGGCGTCTTTGTCCTCCTGGTCGAGTGACTCTAGTTGCTTGCCTTTGTTGTCTGCTGATGATCCGTCCATACTAGCGATAGGCGTGAACACAAAGCTACCAGGAGGGTGAGGTGTCTCGTGGGATAGCCTTGAGTTAAAAAATTGTCGGATGATTCTCTGGTCTTGAGTAATCGTTGCTTCAGCTGGGTCAGGCAGTCTTGCAGGTGTCGAGGTGGCGAATTGAGTCAAAGTTGAGCTGGCTTGTAACGTATAGTTACTATCAGGCGTTTCTGGAGGGGCTTCTAGCTTATAGTTATATCTCGGTGGGATGGGTGGCTCTGGACTTTCGATTTGTGTCGTAGGTGGCTTTGGTCTCCGTAGAAAGGATTCCGGGTCACTAATGAAGTTCGAGGGTAGTTCGAATCCCATTAAGTGTCGCTTGTCAGCGCCGCAATGAAGTCTCGCACGGGTGTCTGGTGTCTGGGATAGTCAAGATAGTTCGGGTTGTCGATGAGAAAAAAAGGTTCTAAAAGTTGACTGATGTTTTTGTTTGATTTTCAAGGTTAATAAACGGGAATAGAATAAAAAAGTGTAAGACTCTCGAGAGGGAGTCTTCACTGGATAAGGCACAGGAGCAACACGGCTCGGAGGGTTATTCTAGAACCCGACTATAGATTTCCCAAAGACACAACTAGCTCCATCCGAAGAGTATTCGGTCAAGAAGAAACAATCAGAACATAGACTCTAACCAGAATGAAAAGAGATAACTAATATAGTGAAATGAGATAACTGATAAAGTGAAATGATATGCTCACCTAGCTCCATCCGAAGAGTATTCGGTGAAGAAGAGTCTTCTGGAGCTAGGGCAACGTGTCTAGTATATAATGCACCTGTCTACACCCATAATGTATGTATTCCGTCGCTATGTAACCCTTACACCTGCAAATCTCGGAATTCCAAAAACTGGGACTATCACAAATATTGTTTTGGTCTTCTTGAATATTGTGGTAAGATTTTATGCTTTTTATCTATGTATTACATCTCATGAATTTTTCATCAAAACCGTTCACTTACTTGTTTGTGACTCGAAATCAGGTCTTCGTATTGATTGTAGTAGGCTTATCTCCGACCCTACCTTTTTCGCCACAAAACCTTCAAGACAAAACAGAAGCATTACCACAATTAGCTTACGTTTCTAAAGGAATATACGCTATTGTTGGTATTTGGTCTAGTTGGATATTTCTACGTTTAACATATGAAATCCAATTAGGAGAAAGTCCGGAAAAGATTGTCAAAGAATTTCCTCGTACTCCTCAGAGTTCTTTACCTAATCGTCTTTCAAATCAGTCTTCTATTCTTATTACAGAAGGACCACCACCTACGCATATGTTTAATCAGCTAGCTTTGTTTCGATTCCCTGACAAACCTGCCTCTACACCACCATAATCACACTTTGAGAAATTTTGATAAGATACTCAATATTAGATCAAACTGACTACCATGCGAAACCCAAAGTTAAACGTTTGTATCATAAAAACCCATGCATAATTTGTGATACGTTCCGTACCTTTCTTCTTGTAGCTGGACTCGATTTTCCTCCTCTTAAGGCTTCCTTTACCAACTTCCTTGATTCTGCTAGTCTATCCTCAACCACCTTATCCTTTTTGAAGTTCAACTTTTTGTTTTGACTTTTATTTATTGCCTTGTAATTGGGTCTTGATTATTTTTGTTACTTGGTTCATACTTGAGATATTTTGAAATCAAATTTAATAATGTTATGTGTTGAAAATCATACCTAACATTATGAAAAGAACATATGTCAAAGGATGTTGAGAAGATTTTCAACTTGGAAACACTTCAGGGTTCAAAGTGCTGGAAATTTCCAAAAAAATATTCCATTCGACATATCCCAGTCTTCTTATCTTTGTCTGGTTTCCTGGAAGTTGTCTAAACTACCATCCGATCAGTTGAGGTGCTCTGAGGAGGGAGGACGCCGGTGGTTCTTCGCCCCGACAGCGATTTCACCGGGTTTTGATCGGATCAGTGTCGCGTTGAAATTTTGGAGACGCGTTGGTGTCGGATCAAGAAGCTCGACAGATGAACTGTCTCACACTTCAGCGTCCATCTTGTCCATAATCAACTTTATTCTCAGTAATCATTCGGTCATTCATTTCGAGATTCAAGAAATCAAGAAGCTTCACAGTCTCTGCATCACTCAAACCGAACTCAAGCCATGCCTCTCAAAAAAGCAGAGAGAAAGCTGGAGAGCTCGAAAGCTCACGAAGCACGAATGGAGCGGAGAAAAATCTTAGAACCAGCAGTCTTAGCTGTCGTTTCAGCTCTCGGTGGTTTCGAAGACATCCTTATAGAATCTGATAACGATGAAGATGATAATGAAAGGCGTGATAATCAATCGAAGCCAAAACTACAGAAAGTTTATAAACTTGGAGATGAATGTTTAGGTTGTTTAAAAGATTTAAAAAAGTTTTGGAGGCTAGATGAAGATGATGATGATAGAACTGTGGCTAGATTGCTTTATGATAGTCAAATACTTCCCAAAGATTTACTTCCGATCATTACTTCACTCGATCTTGATGATAAGAAGGATTTCAGGGTCTCTCTTCTTTGTTGTGAGTAATACTTTTTTTTATTCAAGTTTGAAGTTGGTAATTCAAACAATTGATACGATTTCCTTAACATTCTTTCATAACAATAGCTGACCTCATCTCGGCTCTCACTTGGCCAATCGATATTGCTTCAGAGCTTAAAGAAATGAATGAACTATTGGATCAAGAAACCAAACGAGAGCTCAAACAGATTGATTTTTCCGGTCTGATTTCTGCTCAACTTTCTTATAAACGTGATATCTTAAATGCTGGTGCCTTGGCGCATATATTTAGGCTCATTGTTCCTTCTTTACAAAAGGGTAAACGGTATATATTGTCTCTCCTCGGACTACAAGCAGGACATTAGCTCTGACTTTCAAACACATTTTACCTTGCAGAGAGCGAACAGAAAAGGACGAAAATATCATATCATTAATTTTGCATATCATTCGAAATCTCGTAGCCTTGAAGGACAAACCTTGTCCGATAGGGGAATCTTCGACGTCAGCTGATGACTATCAACTTCAATCCGAACTGATCATTCAAATGTCACGATTCGGCATTTTCGACTTTTTAATTCACTTGAGTCATGGTGCAAATCGTTTTGACGTCTTTGGCGCCTGGAACATGATCGTTCTTGATATTTGGCATTTGCTCTTTCGTGGAATGAATGCTGAAGATTTAGTAGATGCAGAATCATTTTTCAAAACAAATGAGGAAGGTCAAACTGTTAAAACTTTATCAGCTTCAGCTAGGAGATTAGATGCTTTACTTGCAGAAGAAGAGCAAGAGAAACGAAGACAGGCTAGGAAAGCTCCTAGTCGACATTCTCGCTTTGGCACCACTATCAGCGTTCATACGGTATGTTCCTGTGATAGCGATCAATATATTATGAATTTGATCTGAAAAGAGTTTTATTTTGATAACTAGGAAGGTCAAAAGTATAACTTACACCGTCAAAGTGATATCACAACTTCTTTGGAGCATGCATTGGATTTGCGTAAAAAAGCCAAGAAAAAACCTGTTCGACTCAGGGATGAGCTTGGAACACCTACTGAACTCACGCCTGATGCTATGAAGGTTTTAAGAAAAGTGGCTACTGAATTTATCGAATCGGCATTCAACCGTTAGTCTTACTCAGTTGCAATTCATTGATTTTTCGAAGCTAATTTTTCTTCCATTTTAAATAGCTTTCTTTGGTTCGATCTTACAAGATATTCAAATGGAAAGAGATAAAGTTAAAGAAACAGATCCGATCCGATTTTTATCATTATTTGGTTTTTTTCTACAATACTTTTTACTTCTTAGAGATAGAGAGAAACGCGTAGGAATACTTCCAGATAGTGAAGAAGGTCACGATTTCGATTTAATTGCGAGTTTGATTGAACCAGGTTGTATGCGATATATTCTGGAAAAGATTAAGGCTAATGTTGAGGAGAAACCTATGCCGGCTGTGGAAGTTCATGCAGCAGTGAACTCATTACTGTACCAGGTAAGTTGCTAGGTTTTGTGTGTCAATCAATCCGCCGTAACGCTAAGGCATATTTTTTTATAAACAGCTTTTGGTCATTGACGGTTTGATGGCTTCTGGCGTCGCCTCCTATATCGACGCGGCAACACTTATTCAAGACAAACTATACTATGACGAGACAAGCTTGGAGATTGTGATCCAATTATTATCAAGCTATACAACTCAATCTCACAAATTCCTCGACAACATCATTTTTCTCGCCACTGTCTTTTTGAAAATGCTTGAACGTCATTCAAAGAGTCAAGACCATATGTTTGTTCGTAAAAAGAAACCCAACAAAAAGTCACAAGCAAACGGAAAGGGGAACGCGATTGAAGGAGAACTAGAAAATGCTGAGGCTGGTTTAGGGATTGGTGATGAGGAAGAAGCTGAGTTTGAAGCTATGGAAGCTCGTAATGCTCAAAGATATGCCGAACACAAGTTTGAGTTTGAAAAGTTTCAAGCAGTGAGTTGTCTATATTCAACTTCACATGCAGTAGTTCATATTATGGGCCGGATCTGACTGACATGCTGTCCATATAGAAATTCGCGCGTGAGCCGGTGCTCAATACCTTATTAGTCTATCTGACCGGCCATCGGGAATTCAAGGATCCTGAGCAACTGAAGCGCGTTGTAAGACTTCTTCATCGGATCGCTGTGAATGCTAAATCAGATGGCTTATTCTTCAAGGTACCTAGGACATCTGATCCAGATCTATCAAAACAATAACACTGGAGCTTTTTACTATTTCCTCAATGATTTCTCAGGTTTCTACATTCGATACACTGAATACACTTCTCGAAGATCGAGCTAATTCACCCAGAAATCCCGTTTATGATGATCTTTGGAAACTAATTGATTATATCTTAAAACAATTCTTCAAATCGATTAGACAAAATCCATTTTTATTAGTTGAATGTTTTTTTCCTTCTAGAAAGACTAAAGGAGGTCGTACTCGAAATATTGAAAATAGTGATAGTGATGCTGATAGTTTGGTTCTTACGAAATCTAAGAAAAAAGTTAGTATATCCTTTCACCTTGAGATTATCACGCGAATTAATGATATCTGTTCTTCCATATCTAGCCATTAAAACTTCCAGCAGAGATTGTGGTGAAACCAGGATTAACGTGGTCTCAGAAATTAGGAGTGGCAATCGGTTTGTTAGTCGATGACAACAAATCTGATCTAGTGGAACAAGTCAAGGATACACTACGCTTAGCTTCAGCCGCTCGAACGGCTATAGTTCTTATCACTGATGGTTCTCCGGATGAAGATGAAAATATCGATATTCGTGCTTGGCTTGATGAACCTAATGAAGAACTTAGTGAAGCGTTGAAAGAGAAATTCGCTAAACCTTCTGCTGCAGCTTTGGAAAAGTTTGAAGATCATGGTGCATTAGGCTTTACTGAAGATTTCTGGTCAATTTGGATCTTGATCACTGATTGATGATTGATGTTTTTAGAGGTCAGATCGGAGGACCAAGATTACGACAAAGCTCTGGGACGTGATCCACAGCTTCATTTGCTTTTACGTCTACTGTCTTGGGATAATACAGAAGGTATGTTGATCGTAATTTTTTTCGAAGCCTTTTTCTGTTCGGGCAGTGGGTGATCCAACTATTTGTTAAGAGTTCATGTAAACTGATTTGTTTTTTTCTTTCCTTTTCAAATCGAAGACGAAGGACGACTTCAATGGACAATACCCAAAACCCGATTACATACCGAATTGAATGTAGATTTAAAAATCATAGATTATTTCTTATTAAACCCACTCGATCATAATGGAAAATCAGCAGCCGAATTAGTAAAGAAAAAGAGAAAAACACAAGGCAGTAGAAGAACTAGAAGACGTGAAACGAGCGCTGATTTAAATGAAGAAGAAAGAGCTTTAGATGGTGATAGTGATGAGGATGAGGAAGAATCTCGTAAGAAAAGGAAAGCTAAGAAACAACAAGAAGTTAAACAATATCAATCTGCTCAGGTACGAATTTCGTTTCTTCGATTGATAGTGATCAGATGTTTTGAGTTAGTGGATTTATATTGATCTTTATGTTTTGCTATTAACCAGTTTATTGCAGATTCTGATGACGAGGATGATGCGGAAAGAGATGCTAGATTTTTTGAACAAGAGTTTGTTATCCTTCGTTGCAACTAGTCTTTCATAAAGGATTAAAGCTCATGAATTTATTTTTTTGTTATATAGACGACTTTTAAGAGAACGGATAAATCAAGGTGCAATTTTAGGAATGGGAGCCTCTAAAGCTGATTCAAATCCCATTTCAACACGTAAGATACGAGCAAAGCCAGCGAAAAGGAACCGGCAGATCAAAAAAGTAGCTCGGTCTAAAGAGATTGGAATAAATGAAGATGATGCAGGGAATGATGAGATGGATGTTGATATGTTGGATGGAGAACAAGATCAAGTTAACTTAACGAGTGAGAAAAGTGTTTTGAGAGAAGTATCACCTGAGCTGAGTCAAGATGAAGAAGAAAATGAAGAAAGCAGTTCAGATGAAATTGATATAAGACCACAAACTACTACTACTACTACTATAGATATTACTTCACCGACACGTTCTTCTACTTCTTCAGCACAAAGCAAAAGTGTTGAAATCATTAATAGGAAAAGAAATTTGGTTTCTTCTATCAAACTTGGTGGTGAAGAAGATGAAGATGAGATTGATGAATTAGAAGATTCTCCTAGAAGAGTTAAGTCTAGAAAGATTTTAGTTATAGATAGTGATGAGGAAGAATGATGATTTTATCAATCAAGTTATGATTCGAATTAATATTAAATTGCGATTTTGATAGTGGAATTGTGCATTGTGGATTGTTTTTTTGTTTAGGTATATATACTCTTTGAAACATACTTGATTCTTTTTTACGATGTTTTTTTTGGCAACCTGGCATTTGTTTGTGATGTCATTTTTGGTTTCAGATCCTACTTATATAATTTTCTTTTGATATCTTTGATTACTTTTAAAATGTATTTGTATACCAATGAGGACGGGATTAATTTTAGAGATGTGATTTCTTGAAGACGAATCTTACGAAAACCTGATGATCTAAGCCGAGCCAATCTGACTCTGTTTCTTGCTCTGCGAAACGAGGAGAAGCTGAGAAACAGTTGAGAACTCTTTCATGATGAGAAGAAACTTGCGACAGTTTGGAGTGAGAGATCGAGATTATGGGTTTGTGATTATGGGATTTGAGAGCAGTATATAAGTCTTGACCCCTTGGGTGGTGTCATCTCAACTAAAACCGCAACATTATATCTCGAATTCCATGAACAGATTGAAAGTTATTCGACCGAAATGACGGCTTTAAAACTTTTACCATTTCAAGAATCAGTTTTATCCGATCTGAAGCAAGAAGATGCATTGATTGTCCTTGCAAGAGGATTAGGAGCTCGATCGATAATTGGAAACTTTTTAAAAACTTATACAAAAAGTAATCCTAAACCAGTAATAGTGGTAAATGCAACTTTAGAAGAAGAATCAGGTTTAAAAGATGATCTTGGAATGCAATTGGTTTCTATAGGTCATGAAATGGGTTCAAAGGAAAGGTAAGGAGTTTCTCATCGAATTAAAAGTTTTCTTGAAAGTTTTAGATTCTAATCGCGTGTTTTTTCCTTCTTTTATTGAAGGGAACGCGTGTATCAGAGAGGTGGAGTGTTATCGATCACTTCAAGAATCTTGATTGTGGATCTACTCTGTCGCAAGATCGATATCGAACGTATCAGTGGCTTAGTCATCCTTCACGCCGAACTGTGGGTTAGTTCCAAGCTTTCATTTGACCGAATCATCAACATGAATTGAAGCCATCCGTTCACATCAACTAATTGTGAATTTCTTTGATCATTCAGTGTTACGCCGACTTCGATTGAAGCTTTTATTGTTCGAGTCTTTAGACGCTCTAACACAGTTGAGTAGAACTCAATAATATATATTCTCGACAGTCATTCTTGATCATAATGCTGACTCGAACTTCTTCTGGTGGGTAATATTTATAGACTGGTTTTCTCAAAGCATTTTCTGAAGAACCCGAACATTTTACCTTCGGACTCTCGCCGCTTCAAACAGTCTTAACTCAATTACGTCTTCGTACAGTAATGATATGGCCTAGGTGAGTTTTACAAAAATGTTTTCAAAGTTTTTCATCTTTCGATTTTAATTTCCGGCTTTGAACTTTTCTAAGATTATATTTTCTCCTAGGTTTCACGCCTCTGTCAGAAAAGACTTGGAGGCTCGCAAGCCTAAAGTAATTGAACTACACCAAGCCTTGAGTCCTGCAATGAATGATATCCAAACTTCGATCATTGAATGTATGGATGCAAGTTTAAATCAAATCCGTAGGGCCAACACGAACGTCAGTATTTCTTATATCTAGTTCTGTGATCGGATGACATGACTTACGAATTGCATTCCCTTGATAGCTTGAAGTGGATGATCTTACGGTGGACAATGCTCTCTTCCGTTCATTTGATATGATCATCAGAGCTCAGCTCGATCCCATTTGGCATCGAGTCAGTCCTCAAACTCGACAATTAGTAGGCGATCTCACAACACTACGAAAACTACTCGGGTCAGTCATTTGAGATTTTATCCCTGTGTCAACTAAAGAGTTAACATCTTTGTTTTTTTCTTAGATATCTCCTCAGCTTCGATTGTGTAACTTTTTATCAGTTTTTGGAAACTATTCTAGCCGCCAATTCTTCAACGACTACTGGTGTGACTGCACAAAACCAGAGCCCTTGGCTTTTCACAAGTGCAGCCGACACGATCTTTTCAGTAGCTAAACGAAGGTTATATGAAAATATCGAAAAGTCAAAGAACTCTACTAATGAGTCAAATGATGATAAAGAAGGACCAACAGAGGAAGAGGAAGAAGCCATGAGGGAAGTCGAAGTTTTGGATGCCGCTGAGAAAGCCGGCTTGGATGTCTCTGGATTTGCTCGAAGGGCGCAGTGGGATTGGAATTGGTTACCTAAAGGAACTCAACCTGTGTTAGAAGAGCAGCCTAAATGGCTTTTATTAGGTGAAGTATTGAAGGAGATTGAAGTTAGCCTTGAATCTGACGAACTTTCAAGTAAGTAGAATTGAATTTTACAGAAAGAAATTTCCACGAGAGCTGACACCTTGTAATGCTTGACTTTTACCACATTGTTTTATGTACAGAAAAAGAAACTGAAAACCTCAACTCAGGAAAGGTAGTTTTGATAATGTGCTCATCATCATCAATTTGTGCAATGTTGAATGAATATTTAACGACTCAAGATGAAGAATTAGATGAAGTATATAAACTTAAACCAATGATGAGACGTAGATTAAAGCATTATTTTTTATGGAAAGGTTCACTTGGAAAGATGACACGAAATTTAAATCAAAAATCTGGAAATTTAAATCCAATTAGATCAATTCAACCTTCTAATTTTGCATCTAAAACTGGATCTACAACTGGATCTTCTGATCAAAATCTTAGTGAAGCACTTAAACGGAAAGCTGACTATAGGAACAGTGGAGCTGGTTTGAATAAACGACGTAGAGTTAGAGGTGGTGGTGCGGGTACTGGATCTACAAGTCGGTCCGATCGAAAATCGGAACCAGCTAGGGCTGCAGATCCTGAGGCGTTGGAAAAGGAGGCAGGTGATGTTGCAGATTTGTACGTTAAATACCTTTGGAGATACGGAGAAATGGATTCAGTACTGATCAAAGTTGCTTTCAAACACGAAAAAAGACTCGATTCTATGACGAGTGCATCTGGTTTGAAACCGATCGAGGATGACACGACAAGTCAAGCGTTGATAGTTGAAGACTTCAATGAAGATGACTTTTCGGCTTACTTTGATTTATTATCAACGGATGATATGGTGATTATCAGGACTTATCTGGGTGATGAAGATGATAGAGTCTTGGAAGAATTACATCCTCGGTACATCGTAATGTATGAGCCTGATGTGGCTTTTGTGAGAAGAGTGGAGGTAAGCCTTTGAGTATTGTCATCTGATTGACCGAATTCTAAGAGTGCTTTCGTTCTTCCTTCTCACTCTCAGTGTTATCGAGCTTCAAACCCTGGATTGAATGTGAAAACTTACTTTATGATGTACAGCGATTCGGTGGAAGAACAAAGATATTTATCAAGTGTGAGAAGAGAGAAAGAAGCTTTTGAGCGACTTATAAGGGAAAATGCGGTTTGTTGTCACTCGTACTTCGCTTATCTTGATGTCTGTTAATGATGAGTTGACCCATGTCTCTTTTTTTGATTTGGCAGACGATGGTCGTACCTCTTCAAGCGGAAGTGAGACCAGGAGAAAGTACAGAGGAAGAAACTCTTCGTACTATCTCATCTCGACTTGGTGGAAAGGCGTTACAAAGTGGATTACCTCAAGTAAGTTTATTCTGACAATTAGCCCAATCGTGTGCTATTGGGTGGGCATTAACCTTGGTCATTAGGTGGTTGTAGACGTGCGAGAGTTTCGGTCATCATTACCTTCACTTTTACACGCTGCCAACTTTCTTGTAGAACCGACTACATTGATTGTTGGTGATTATATTATCTCACCTGATATGTGTGTTGAACGAAAAAGTATCAGTGATTTGATCCAGAGTTTCAATTCAGGAAGATTGTAAGTATTTGACCTAGAAAGAATTTGTTTCACTTCAAAATACTTTATTGACTTGAGGATCTAAATGACTAATTGATACTTCAATTTTTTATTAACTTCTAGATATCAACAATGTGAAATGATGACTGCTCATTATAAGCAGCCAATCCTATTAATTGAATTCGATCAGAAGAAATCTTTCTCGCTTGACGTAAGTGATTTCAGCTTCAAGCCCGTCTATAAATTATGGTTATTTTCGATCTTATCCTTCTTACACCAGTGTTCTTCTTTTGGGGATGATTAGACGTATAAAGACACTCGGGGAGCGGGTAGCAGTGCGACAAACTTAAAGGCACCCTCCGATACAGATTTACAAGCTAAACTGGTTCTTCTAACTCTTAGTTTTCCAAAACTTCGATTGATCTGGTCATCATCACCTCAGGCAACAGCGGAGATCTTTCGAGAAATCAAATCAGGACATCCAGAACCAGATACCACCACAGCAAGTCTTATAGGATTAGATGAATATTCAAAAGCAGATAAAGCAGGAAACTTAGAGTTGATAGAAGGTAGTAACAGTAATAATCGAATTTTATCAGAAGAAATGATTAGAAGTCTACCTGGAATGAATTTAATTAATTCAAATAAGATTTTAAGATCTAAAAAGAAAAAAGTGAATAATTTAAGAGAATTGTGTGGATTAAGTGAAAGAGAAATGAAAAATTTAATTGGAATTGAATCTGGTTCAAAACTTTATAAATTTGTTAATGAAGAAGTTGATGGGAAATCATAGATTGATTTTAAAGATGATTTTTGGATGATATATATATATGTAACAGGGCGGAGATTTACCCACGTTATGATATAAGTTCTTGTATAACAAGAACTCGAGGTGAACGAAGTGGAAGAAAGAGGAATAAGATCACAGATCTTATAACTGTATTCAGAAGTTAAGAATTGAGTCAAAAGGGGCACGGGCGGAGGTTAGGATAACCGAGGCAGGTGAGATGCTTTCGAAGGAGTTCAATGAATAACGATGAAGGCAGAAAAAGGCTTTTAAATGTTGTAAACAAAAGTAAGAAATATAATTGCATGTATAAAAAGATCTTTTATAGAGCAGATGATATGTATAAGAATTTGTAAAAGTAAAAGGTAACAGATTGATAAAAGATAAAGTGCAGAAACTATTACAATGGGAATAGTTTCCTTTATTTATACAATCTTAATACGAACAAGAAGGCTAAGGATGCCTTGTTTAGACTAGGCACAAATGACGATGGCATGTGCCTGGTTTACAATTAAATGTTCTTTTACTAGGGTCTAGTCTCGAATACAATACTTCGGTTTAGACTAGCCCTTTTATAATGGCGGAATCCTTCGGTAGTCAGGTTTAAGCCATTTGTCTTAATGTAGCTAGTACAGGGCCTTCGGCCCTGCTACAACCATCCCCTTCCCAAACAAGCAATACTCCTGAATTGCGGAATCACAAGAGTTTGTTGTTGAGATAACGGTTTTCGTCATGATAAAAGTTTTCTTCAGGCTGAGATGATTCGTTCCAATCTTATTTCTTGTTATGAAGTCGGTTGGAACGACGCGGCTGAACAACCGGAGGTTTTGGGACAGGAAGAGGTGGAGGTGTTTCCACAGATGAAGGTTGATCCTGCTGGGGTGGTTTGATAGGAAGAGTTGTCGTTGGTACAGAAGACGCAACAGGAGATGATGACGATTGGTCCTGAGGAGTAGAAACGGTTTGATCCCGAGAACTCATGTTTTCCGGAGCAAATCGTCCAACTAATTTAATCCTAGTAGGGCCAGCTTTCTCCTGAGTTTTCGCCAATCGTTTAGCTTGCTTCTTCAGATCCAAGGAAACCTTCAAGTCTTCTTTGGCGATGTCTTGAAGAAGTCGAGGGGGGAGGGCCCACGCTGAATTTTTGTCAATCACTTAAATTAACAAAAGGATTAAACCTGTTCCTTTGTAAAGCCATTCAAGAGTCAGATCCGATATACGTTATTACCGAGAGAATCAAGGATCTCAAACGGTCCGTACCAATGAGGTTCCCCTTTTGTATGGGCCTCATTACGAAGTTTTACCTTGTCGCCTACTTCATAAGTGACAAGACGGGAGGCAACTTTCCCCGTTACTTCATCAACCTCAAATTGTTTGTCGAAACAGGCTTTATTAACCGCCGCTCTCTCGACTGACAATTTGGAGGCCTTCTGCCTGGCAAGTCAAAGCTTATCCAGGCGAGCTTCTTGCATGCTCGGATCATTATCCACAACGGGAGCTCGAAGAGTGGCTGGGTTGCCTAACAATCTAGGGCTAACCCCGTAGAGTAGCTCGAAAGGCGACCAACCCGTGACTGTACTCTTATTCACCCTCACGGCGAATAGAGCTTCAGCAAGATATTCAGGCCAACGCTTCGGATCTTTCGAAGTGTTAGCTTTGAACAAAGCTTTTTCCAGGATACCGTTAAAACGCTCGCACTTACCATTTGTGCGAGGGTGGTAACCAGAAGTATTAATCTTTCTGGCATGACAGCTTTTCAGGAACAGTGTCATCTCTTTTGAAAGAAAATTCTTTCCTCGATCCGAAAGGATCTCGGATGGAACACCATAGACCTGTATGAGGTCCTTCAACAAAGCTTCTGCCACATTAGCAGAGGTAGCCGTTTTCATAGGGACAGCAAGTGGCCATCCTGTACCATGATCAACCATGGTAAGGATCCACTTGTATCCATCTTGGCTTTCCGGCAGAGAAATAAAATCAACTGCCCATCGCTCAAAAGGATCAACGGGGGCAAGAGGCATTTGTCGAGCAGTTTCCTGACTTTTGTCAGGAGCTTCATAAATCTGGCACTCTGGGCACGATTTGCAATAAGACTCAACGTCTTTATATCGGCCAGGCCACCACCCTCTGTCCTTTAACAAAGAGATAGTCCCGTCCCTTCCTCTATGACCGTACTTTCGGTGTAAGAGGTCAATCAGCTCGGCTCGCTGGTAAAAAGGGATAAACGGGCTCCTTTCTGAGCCGTTGCCTATCCACAGCAAAGTCTCTTCCTCGGCGTTATACTCAAATTCACGAGCGCCTCGGATAGCTGTCTCCATAACTGCCGCTGTGACCCAAGTCGGCAGTTCTTGGGATCCCCGGATGTAAGGGATCAACAGGGGCCAATCGGAGACGTCCCTCAAACCGTAACGACAGTCCTGTATCAGCAAGATTTCGTGATCGACACGACGACTCAAGGCATCTGGTACAATGTTAGTGGGACCTGATTTGTATTCCACCTTGATCGTCATCTCCCCAAATTCCTCTATCCATCGAAGAAGACGTCTGGTGGGGAGTGCTTGTTTGGACAGGTACGTAAGAGTGACATGGTCTGTTCTTACTACCGTGTCGCAAACGGCACCCTCGACGTAATTTCGCCACTTCCTCCACGCATGGATGATGGCGAGCAGCTCTCTTTCCTGAGCTGGATAATTACGCTGAGCCGCATTCAGCTTGGTGGAGTCAAATGCGATAGGATGTTCCTTTCCGTCGGAACCAACCTGAAGGAGAACGGCACCGACTGCGAAGTCGCTTGAATCCGTCTCAATAATATAGGCTTTGGATGGATCTGGGTTGATCAAAATAGGTGGTTCCATCAGAGCTTTCTTCATTGTAATGAAGGATGCTTCATGTTTTGGAGTCCACACCACTTTGGATTTCTTAGTAACGTTCCCTCCAGTTAATTCATGAAGAGGGGACACTATTTTCGAAAATCCTTTAACAAATCGCCTATAATAGCCGGTCAAACCTAAAAAGGCTCGAACATCAGTTACCGTAGCAGGACGTGGCCATGCTTGAATAGCCTCAAGTTTGTCCTTCATAGGACGAACTCCTGCTGCCAAAACCATGTGACCAACGAATTGTATTTCGTTGGCGAACAGCTCAGACTTTGCTCCACTAACTTTTAGTTCATGGCGCGCCAAAGCTTCCAAGACCAGTCGCACATGTTCGGCATGGTCCTTATCATTCCGGGAATATACAAGTATATTGTCCATATATACCTGGACAAACTTATCCAGGTAGGGTCGTAATATATCACTCATCATTCTTTGGAACGTACTTGGTGCATTCACCAAGCCAAATGGCATCACGAGCCACTCGTAATGCCCATACCTAGTGCTAAAAGCAGTTTTAGGCACGTGATCAGGTGAGATTCTCATCTGGTGAAATCCTTGTTGAAGATCAAACTTGGAATAACGTGTGGAACCGTGAAGCTGATCAAAACAATCTTGGATCAAAGGTAATGGATGCCGATCTCGCTTTGTTAGCGAGTTGACAGCTCGATAATCAACACAAAACCTCAGTTTACCAGCAGCGTTTTTGGCGAATAAAACTGGCAAAGACCAAGGTGAGGTAGAAGGTTGAATGAACCCATTCTTCTCCAAAACTTCGAGTTTCTTCTGAAGTTCTGTAAGAAGTAACAGTGACATGCGTCTAACAGCCTGTGCTACTGGTTTTTCATTACCAGTATCGATAAGGTGTTGGACTGTCCTCTCCTTTTTGGAGGCAGACGAAATCTCGTCAAACAAATCCCGATACTTTTCCACAATCTCAGAAGCAATCCTCCTGAGATTTGGATCGTCGGTAGAAATCTTGGGAAGAACCGTAGGGGGTTCTTCCCTCGGCCCTTCGACTTCATCTATTGAGTGAATGAAGTATGAACCATAGACTAGCCAGGACTCTACGTTTTTCTTTCGCATGAATCGCCGCATCTGGCTCCTTGTACTAGGAGCATCATCACATTCTTGAAGGTGAACCTCACCATCTATGAGGTGCAAAGTTTCAACCGGGCTTGAAATGGCCGCGGGTCGAAAAGACTGCTCCTTTCCAGCAAAGTCTCGAAGGACCCAAGTCCCCGAGGCCCAATCCGTCGAGACGGCGTATGTGCCAATCCAATCCATACCCAGGATTACGTCAAATGACGCCAACGGAGCTACACGAAGCTCATGACTGATTGACACTAGACCAAAGTCTATGTTGAGTCCAGCGAGGTGATTACACTTCTGAGCTTTCCCCCACACGCCGTAAACTACGGGGCGCGACGGATTCCTTTGTGTGATAATCTTCCTATTATCGACATAATTTTGCGAAATATAAGATTGCTTCGCACCAGTGTCTATTAATAGCCTGGTGGACACATTGTCTAGTGTTAAGACAAAATCGACTCTAGGCATTCCTGAGTCTGTTTCAATAGCAGCCAAATGATCGCGGAAGCTATCCGTGACCATTCCAGAGGTTAAAACACCGGGCTCACTGGCCGGTGAGAATGCGGTAGATTTGACCGCTGTTTGACAGCACATCTCCTTACATGGAGCGCTTGGTAAATAGTCGTAAAGACTAGGAGCGATTTTCGAAGGCTGTTTCTCGCATTGAGACAAAACACTCTTAGTCTTCGAACTCTTAGCCGTTTTAAGGGGCTTGGATGAAATAATTTTCTCACATGAAGTCAATTTGACTTCGGGCTCACAAATAACATCACAATAATCCAAAGATTGATCACTAGCGGTGGTAATGACAGTATTATTACTAGCAGTGATAAAGACAGTAGATGATGTTGTAGACAGATCAGGCAATACAATAGGAGCAAAGATTGTATCGCCTAGGCTTTTGACTCCCCAGAGCCACTAGCCACGGCATTAGAAGAAGAACCGCTACCTTTATTTTTCTTAAAATAATTTAAGGTACGCGGTGAAGCTTTTTCAGGACAAATATGATTAACCAACGTGCCAAAACGATGACCCTTCTTCCCACAATTGTAACAGACCACGTCGGACTTGCCACCTTCTGGATTTTTCCTCTTGTTATTCTTCTTATTGTTGGATGAATGATTTTGAGGAGTCGAAACGGTATTAACATGGTCCTTCTCAGATCGTAGTTGGTTGTCTCTATCGATAGCACATAAAGTGACCTGCGAAAACGTCATAGGTCTCCCAGCTCTCGAATCGCGCTCTATTTCACCTTGAACGTATCTGTGTAGATAAGGAGGTAATTTGTTGAGGAAAACCGTGGATTCTTGATATTCGAATCCCAAGTAGATAGCATCGTTTTGGAGAACTCGAAAACGGGCAACCGCATCACAGACCTTCTCATTCGGACGGAATTTGAAGTTATCGAATCTCCCTTGGATGTTGATAAGGGAGAGCAAACTGGGGAACGCATTGATTACGAAATCTTCCAATTCGGAATAGGTGCTAGGACAATTTGGTGATCCGATAACTTGACGAAGTTCAGTTAAAGCAGCACCGTCGAGAAACTGAAATCCAATGTAATGCCATACTGCTTCATCAACATTGAGGAGCATGAGGTCTTTGGCTAAATTAGCAAACCAAAGTGGGGCGTCATAAGAACTGGTACCGTCGAATTTTTCGAATTTTTGAATGGCCAGTGTCTTGCAAATTTTGTGATAATCTTTATCACGGGAAATTCCAGCTTCAGGTGGCTGAGAATATCAAGTCAAACTGGTGAAACCGGGCTGAGTTCCAGGTCGGACAGAAGGACCCACAGAATCTCTAACCGTTATTTGGTGGATGAGCTGTTGAGCCGGCGTCGAAACAGGGTTAGGGATGATTGTCGAATCCGACAGAGTGACACTTTCGATGCGTTGAGAGAGTCGAGTTCTTTCGGCTTCAGAGGCAGCCTTCCATTGACGAAAGGCGGCGACCTCGTTTGGATCTTCAATTGGATCAATGACAAGTGGCTTGGACTCTTGACGGTGATAATCTTGGTCATTGAGAACGTCGTCCATAGGTTCCATAGAAGAGGCCGAGACTGATTTCCGTTCACGTGGAACGTAACCAGTAAGGGGGTAAGACTGTGATGCTTCGTTGTTGGCGCGAGTCTTACCTTTGTTGGTAGGAGCTTCTTGTTGCTTCTTATCAAACAAAGAGGAGGTCTTCTTCCCAGGAGCAGGGGGCATCGTGTTGGCTGGGGGGGCAGCCGGAGTTTGACCGACAGATCCATCCGTAGGTAAAGCAGGATTCTTGTATGTGGTCGGGGATTCAACTTCAAGACGTTGTTCACCGTCCGAGTTGATGCCAAGCAAGCGTTGGACAACCGGAGGAATCGAAAGAAGTCGTTTTTCCTTGTGGGTCTTCAAGGTTTGAAAGTAAACCTCATCCCAACTCTCAAAGTTATCAACCTTAGCCTTGTCCCACACACCGTAGTTTGGATCCCAGGTGGTAGAGAGGACTTCCGGGAGTTCGAGGATAATCTTTTTAACATCCTCGTCAGTAAGAGGGATATGAGAGCCAGCTCGGCGACCAGAAGATTGGGGGACAGATTTTCCGGACATGACTGTTATCTAATGTTTTACTAAACAAAAGGAATCAGATGTTAGATATTTGGATATCTTTTTCTCTCTTCTTTTCAACTTAGCTCGAATTTAGACTCACTTGTTTCGGAAAAAAAAAATTTAGATCTAATACGTTCTGAAGAAGTTATTGACAGTGAAAAAAGACAAGTCTTTTTGAATCTGTTAAAACTTAAAATATAGACAAAAAGAAATTTTTTTTTTTGAAAGGTCGTCAGGATCAATTTTTTCAAATAAAAAAAAGAAGCTCTCGCTACCAGTGTAACAGGGCGGAGATTTACCCATGTTATGATATAAGTTCTTGTATAACAAGAACTCGAGGTGAACGAAGTGGAAGAAAGAGGAATAAGATCACAGATCTTATAACTGTATTCAGAAGTTAAGAATTGAGTCAAAAGGGGCACGGGTGGAGGTTAGGATAACCGAGGCAGGTGAGATGCTTTCGAAGGAGTTCAATGAATAACGATGAAGGCAGAAAAAGGCTTTTAAATGTTGTAAACAAAAGTAAGAAATATAATTGCGTGTATAAAAAGATCTTTTATAGAGCAGATGATATGTATAAGAATTTGTAAAAGTAAAAGGTAACAGATTGATCAAAGATAAAGTGCAGAAACTATTACAATGGGAATAGTTTCCTTTATTTATACAATCTTAATACAAACAAGAAGGCTAAGGATGCCTTGTTTAGACTAGGCACAAATGACGATGGCATGTGCCTGGTTTACAATTAAATGTTCTTTTACTAGGGTCTAGTCTCGAATACAATACTTCGGTTTAGACTAGCCCTTTTATAATGGCGGAATCCTTCGGTAGTCAGGTTTAAGCCATTTGTCTTAATGTAGCTAGTACAGGGCCTTCGGCCCTGCTACATATAAGACTTATCTATTTTTATGCGTCTTCTGTATGTTGGATTTTCACGGAAGGTTTGGTTTTACTTTTGTTAGAGTTGTTTTGGTCTGTGTATATTTGGTCAACGCAAAATGTATATGTACCTTTCTTTAATTTAAAATGTATGTGATATATTTTCTTGTTGGTTTTATCAACAATCCGAAGGTTGTGCTTACAAAGCTTCAATCAGCTTCAAGATTTCAAAATTACAATTTCAGACAATCTTGCATTTAGACAACTCCAAGAGTGATTTCATAGAGGAAAGAGAACTAACATTGGACGCTTGCAGTGACAAACCCTCGGAGGCTTCGTGAGATGTTTACAAGAAAGGATAGAAAAGGTTTATTTATTACAACATGTTGATCTCTAGAAAACCACACCTTCAAGATACGAAAAAAAGTACAAAAAAGGTTCTCAAGCTTCGATTTCCTTCAGACTGTCAAACCATCCACCAATATTACCAGCTCGACGATCACGAGCGCCCATGTGAATCTTATTTTGCCGTTTTAGCGCTCGCTTTACATAGGATACCTTGTTTGAATGATGCAAAGCTTTGTCGTTGGGCTCAGGGTTAATTGCATTGGAGTCGAGTGGCCATTCTTCTTCAAGTAACTCATTTAACTTGGACCCAACACGCTCAGCTCCACTCCTTGAACCTGACAAGTTACCGGCATCTGGACCTTCAAGCAACGAAAAAAATGAAAAGATTTGAATAATTTGAAGATACCTTGGAAGATGCCTTGTGAAAGACAGAACGACTTGCTTACCAAGTTCCAACGCCGCGTAACCCCCCATGACAAATAGAGGTAATTGTTCGCCCCACTGTAAACTCTCTGTTAAATGTGGTAGACCTTGGATTATTGGAGGTATTTGGTTCGACGAGTTATTGGGCTGATCGAGTTCAGTGTTTCTCATTTGCTGCAGAAGTGGTTGAAGAAAAGGGATCTTGCAAAAATTCAACTTTCCGCCTGAAGCAACAAAATCAATCAGAATAACTACACTCAAGAGGAAAAATCGTCAAGAAACTCGTTGGGAAATATATTTACCAGTTGATGCAACAATAAACCGCACGTCTTCCATTTGTTCAAAGACGGGTTCCGAAGCTTCAGGTGATTCAGTCCTCAACTTCAGCGACCAAGTTCCAGTTGATTTATCTCGGGTAGCAGTTTGTACAGTAGTATGCAAAAGAACCTTGAGTCGACCTTCGGCAACGCGTCTTTTGATTTGAAAAAGTGTTGAAGGATTAACAGATCCACCATTTCGAGCATTACGAACCATGTTCAATCGAGCTAGAAGAAAAAAACAAAATGGGTAAGGTTTTGAGGAATTCAGGAACCCGATTAACTTTTTACTTACCTTCTCTACAATCTTCTTGCCAGAAGTTCATTTTTTCTAAATTTCGAAAGATACCAGATCAAGTTTTAATTTTCATCCACCTCGAGAGGACAAAGCACAGAAAGAGGTTAACTCAACCTAGATTGCTATATTTGGTGACCCAGGAGAGTGGAAAATCGTAGTGCTTGGCTGCAAGGTCAACGTGATATCATTTGTTACGGAAAACCCAACGAGAAGCAAGATCAGCCACCAGGATAATTCCAGACTCGTTTTAAACATTTCATCGATCTCTATTAAAATCACAACCTGAGAATAAACTTGACGTACTTTTCAAATAGCCACGACATATTAGTATTACTTTTCTGGCTCCTTTATTGATTGCCAGTTCACAGATCTGGGCAGAGGTTAGTCTGGTTTTGCAAAACCAAACAGTATGTCAAACTCGTACTCTCGTATCTAATCTAGATGATATCGTTTTCAGTAGCTAATGAGACTCACCCTCCTCCAATCACCACGATACTACCTCCGTCAATCGAACTCTGCTTGACAGAAGCTTTGAACTCATTATTTCCTCCTTTCGAAAACCACAAAGAATGACACCAACCGTCTCCGTGATGAGAGTCAGTGATACTTTGACTAGGAATTAAGCAAGAGGGTACGATTGGAAATTCTTGAGGGCCAATCGACATGACGACAAATCTAGCTCCATATTTCTTTCCCTTCGAAGTTGTAACGGTGAAACCGAATCCTCTTCCTTCAGTCTTAACATGGAGTATAGAGTAATGTATTCCAGTGACAGTGTCGTGCTTGATCACTTCTCCTAAATTATATCGTTTGATTAATTCGATTTGACAAAATTTCTGAAAAAGATCAGTGGTAGGTCGAAAATAAGAAGCTCTTTCTCGCTCATTCACTGCTCGACCTAAAAGCGCTCGTGATCTTCTACATTTTCTATCACCACCTTTTTCAGATTGTCCTACTGTAGGTTTTGTATTCTCGACTCCGTTCGAGGTAGCGCAAGCTGACTCTGCACCGGTTTTCTTGGCAAAGGCTTCTAGTCCATCCACGTCGGAGGGACCTGTGTTTTTGTGGTATGATCATTAAATTAGACGTTGTGATAAATTTCCGAAAAGTTTTCTATACTGACCAGGATGGAAGAACATAGGAGATCGTAAATGTGGAATTTGAAGGTGATTGAAAAACCTTCGAATCCAGGTGTTCAAAAAAAATTAGTCAGTTCATCATAATGATTTGTTTTTAATGGTTAAAATTCCACTCGAATTGTGCTTACCCATTCCATCTACCTAACCAACCTTCAGAGGCATTTGAGTCCAAGGCTAAGATTTTAGTATGTATTCCATCAGTATCACTTCTGCCTAAGTTGATTGATTGGCTTTTTCTACGAGTTCTTAGAAATGATAGTTTTGAATGTTCTAGATCTGTGTATAGAGAAGCTGGAAATGGTTCGCGTAAACGAGCAGCTAGTCCAAGTGCATGTGGACCTACGAAATATAAATGAAAAAAATCAGGATCTCGAAAGTTTTGTACGCAAGAGTCTGGAGACATTCAGGCTTGATGAGTTTATCTTGATATATGAACTTCAAACATACCTCCACCAATGATCAGAACATCAAAAAAGTCATCATCTTCAATAGTCTCAATTGGAACTTCTTGATGAGCTTGATGAGTATTCTCCATGACGTCAAATAGCGCAAAGTTTGTTTTCTTGAAGTGATTTCCTTCAAAAAAATGTATATATTCTTTTTATAAGTATTGCAAAGTTTTTATAAATAAATCAAAGGGTAAAAGAGCAGGTAGTGGTCCCAAAGATATTTTAAAGCAAATATTTATAATCTGAGTGAGTTGTGTGCGCAATGAAAGATAGAATCAGCAAAACACTGGGTGATCTATAAAGATAAATCAACGTTCTTTGATGCATGAAAAGCGCTTCCTGATATCAGTTCTATTTCCATGCTTTATTGAGCTGATGAGAACCGGAAAGGTACTCTTCGGCAAATCAATCTGATCAGGAAAATTGGTGATCAGTTATGTTATAATGCTTTGTTCGTGAAAAGTACCTTTCCGGCCTATCAACAGATCATGACCGGTGAGGTTTTCGAAAAAGGTTTCATTGAGAAACAAATTCAATAGAGACGTGAAGTTTCCCAAAAGTCAAGTTTGACACAGAGAATACAAGAGGATAAACTCGTTGATCTTGTTCTTTCTCTCTAAAGAAGCTCACGAAGGCCGGATGCCATGAAGTACTTGACTTGAAGATTTGTTCAAGAAATCACGCACCGCCCATACCATTTGTCCCACTCAGTCCCAGCCCAGCTATCAAAAGCACCATCACGCACTGCTTGCAAGCCTTGACATATTGAGCATTCCGCCAACCTTTATTGTAGTTTGATAGATAGGGACGTTGAATAACGGTCGTCGAGCAGATTATGCGTTCAGTTTTTTCCTGCCCCCAATTCTCAGTGATCCTGGCCTTCCGCATATAGGTACCAGACGCCACGAGTTTCTTCTTGAACTTGATTACCGATGACGTCATAATCTTTCTTGGCTCTTTACCATTGATATTGATACTTTTCATCCATCCTCCGCTTCAAGTCTCCCTTTCTGGGTTCATCCCAGTCAACTCATCCTTGCACCTGTTTCATATTCCCGGTCAGTTTAACTCGAAGCAATAAGTTCAAAAGAATTGATCTTCACAATAAGATACATAGCTCATCCAAGCGTCCTAATTGGTCAAGTTTTACACAACACTGTAAAATCTTAAACATGGCCTTTTGTAAATAAAAAGAATGTTGGATAGTTGTGGTAATAGAAACTTGACTGTTTTGATACCCAAGCTTTTCATAACTCCAACAGTCTTGATGATCAAGTAGAATTTCTCTCGCCTCATGGCATCGGTGCCAATGTCTGCAGTTCACTAGCTTATTATTGGGAACATCACATATATTACAAGAATAGAGAAGAACAAGGAACTCTATGAGACAAAATGGAATATTTGAAAGGGCCTTTAGTCTTGTATCATGGGACTTGAAGAAAACAAGGGTAGAGAATTGGAATCCAACGAGGCCAAAAGCTGAAAATAAACAAAGAAAATCAAATCACAACAAAAAGAGTTGAACATGAAAAGGAAAGCATCAAGACTCTGGGGCAAAAAAACATTTCTAATCCCTCAAACTTTTACAAGACCTTTCGCCACATCCAAGTACCGCTCTTTACGTAATGGATCTAATTCGACTAACTTGTTCAAAACATCTACTTCATTTGGACAATATTGAAGTAATGTGGCTAGTGCCCATTTCGAATCAGGTTCGAGTTCTAATAATTCTTTAATCGATGCAATCTCTGCTTCCCGAACATCATCTCGATCGTCTATGAGTCAAAAATAATCATTAGGTTAGTTTTTTTATCAAGCATTTCTCAAAATCATCAAAATCAGGAGAACTAAACTATGACTCATTAACCAACGATGGTATAACCAACCGCTCTGATCATTCGGATCAATCCATAAAGCATTCCGAACCCATTCAAATTCTTCTTTCAATCTAATTTCTTTTTCATCTGTCTTAGAACCTAGAAACTGAGATTCAAGTAATCTTGATCGATAATGCCAAGCAGAAAAATTTGAAAAATTTGATTCGATTTGTTTTGTTGTAAAATTTAATTCAGATTTAAACCTTTCTTGAGATGAAAGTTGATCATCTTGACTTGAAATCATCGAAATTAAAAACCGTCTATATCCCCATGCATGAACTAAATTTAGATCAAGTATAACAAATAATAATAGAAAAAAAACAAAAGAATAAACCCTGTCATTTGACCGGCAAACCAATATTTAACCAAGTTTTGTTTTTGTTTGATTCTAGGTATGAAAGTTTCATTTGATTATAAAGATTCACTCACAATTCCTTCCATCTTTTTTAAGTAAACTTTCTACTAAATTCAATTCATTAAACCAATCTTGACTTTTCATTTGTTTTAAAATCCATTTACGATGCTCCCAAATCGAATAACATTTTGGATGGTTTTCAAAACTTTTAAATGTGAATTTCATTTCATCATTTAATTTTTCTAATATTATTTCATGGTGATTAACTTCATTTGATTTGATCATTGAGATTAAACATTTTCTTCGGAATGACCAAGCTGTTACATGTTCTGGATTTAAGGTTAAAAGTGCTGTACTTAAATCAAATGAATCGTCTTCTTCAAACTCCTTTCTGTGATTCTTTTGATCGAAGCAAAAAAGAAAAATTCAAGCGAACATCGAAATGATCCAAGTCAGTTTTTTTGAAATATCAAAGGATATCAAAGAGAAATTTCATTGGAAAGATAAGTGATGAATGATCTTGGCAAAAACTCAACTCGTTCTAGTAAACTCTTATTCAATAATTGATACTCTTGCAATCGAACTCTCTCTTCTTCGATTTCACTAGGATGACGTGGTGTGACAGTTTTAGGTCTTTGAACTCCGTGCTATTTGAACAAACGATTGCAAAGATGTTAGATCGATATACTTTGATTTTTGCGACATGATAGACAGTGAAAGATACGTACCATCTTGGCTCAGATGAGTTGAGTTAGATCGTTGACTCAAGAGTTATTCAAACAACAAAGGCTCAATGAGATACCCGCAGACGTCAGCTTTGAGGACGACCCGTATCGTGATGAGCTAATTATAGTAAGTCCGGCCCGGTACAAACAGGCCAAAAAAAATTGATCGCAAAACTCTCCTTGTGAAGCAGGACTTTTTGGACTACTTTTGAGCTTGAATCCTTTATTCGATCATAAATAATTTCCACATTGTCTGATGATTTCTAGAATATGGCTTGGATTCAAGTCTCTCAAGGTTCACCGTAGCAGAGGATCCGACGCATCGCAAGCTGCATCAAGCCCAATGTCAGCATTTACACCGTGTCGGCGATGCATTCAAGAGGAGCTATACCAAGCATAGCGGTGTGCGATCATTCGATTGGATGTTGACTCAATGGCGTGTGCAGTATATGTTACGCTTATATCTGCTATGATCGATTCAAATCATTCAACTTGGCATCTTTGATGCAGAGTATGGCAAACATACCGCCAAAATGAGCAAGAGTGACCGCAGAGTTATTGAAAAATGTTCCGAAGAGGGCTTTGTTTTTCACTGTGCGCCATATCATTTTCGGAGTTGAGCGCAGAACGTACATTCCTGAGCTTGGTTTGAGACAGCCTGATGGCCAATTCGCCGTACGGCAATTCTTGGACCAAGATCAATTCAAACACACCACGTCAACGTCATCAGATGAGACCATTGCACGCTTTTTAGGAACTCGCACCGTTCTTCATCGCACGGAGAGCCAGATGAGAAGCACGAAGTCATTTTTCTTGTCTGTTGATGGCTCTGTCCTGTCTTCTTACAACCGAATTTCTTGATATAGATCATCTATCAGGCTGTATCAGGTGATCATTTGGGCAGCAAGTATCGCAATAAGCATTACTGAGTAATAGACCGAAACGATTCTGAATGAAGCAGTCTTTTGAGGGAATGGGTAGAGTCTAGATCTTGATGCCCTTTACACAATGCCATGTATAGCCAGATCAAAGACTACTTCCCGGCTAAAGGTCTACCTAAGATATTGTAAGGAAAATAGACTGGTGTCTCAACAGGTCTTAACTCGAGGCTATAGTTAGTGACTTTTATTCCACTTTCGCATATTTTGCTCGAGGCAAATCATCCGATTCCAACTTGTTATATTCCACAAAATGTCTGGCGGACACACCTGTAGAATTAGGATGAGGAACTGCAGAGCCCTTAGTGCTAGATAGCCTGAACAGTGCTTAGCCTTCAGCTTAATGACGTGGGCGCCCTGGTAAGCCCGAATTGGATTATATGCATAGGAACAGTTAGCGACAAAACCGATTATTATGTGAGATGAGCAATTGCCCAAGTCTATGAACCTCAAAGGTCTCGAGATTGACGATTTTTGAAGTGCTATATCATTAAATGTGATCTCTATCCACTTTTGCGTCTGAAAGTCGCCTTTTACCAGATGAGATTGATCACGATGGTCCATAGAAGTACCTCCTTATGTTTTTTGGCGCGAGTTCCTCGATAAATGAGCAATGCTCTAGCAAACAAACTTGTTATCTCTTCATTGCATGGGCTGATGGTGCTGCGAGGCAGCGACTCGAATTTACAGTCAAAAAAAGAAACCAAAGGCGGTGTTTTGACCTCATTAAACCAAAACAAAACATATGTTTAGCAGACTAAATGTGGTCCCTGGTTAGATTTGGTGCGCTGTTCTCCACGATGGGGCAGGCATGAATTTTGATGTCTTTGTCATTTTTAAGAACGCGAGCATTTGACAAAAAAGCTTCCTGTATCTCGATTAATGCATGTACAAAGGCTTTTCGATTTTTGAAAATGAAATGAAATGACCTCGCGCCGCCAGAAAAATAATGCTAATAATGCTAATAATGCAGCCGTGGATTGGAGAAGCTGATCCACACTGTGCTGTTGATCGCTGATCGCTGAAGTCCAAGGTATAAATTTAGTGCACCTCGATTGTAGTCCATCTACATCCAACCACAACCACAACCACGCTTCTCAGCTACTCACGCTTCAAACACATACGACTTCAACAACTCACATTTCCAGAAATATTTCCAATCAGCTAGTCAACGAAGATGTCCCCAAATCATTCTCATAGTCCTTCTGGTCATCCAAAACTTACTCATCTCACTCGTGATCGCTCTGCCTCTCTACCACAATCCAACCTTCAAACTTCAAGGCCGAATGCTTTTGACTCAAACGTTCCCTACGCTTATACGAGAAAAGGCTCACTTCCATACAACAATCTTCCACGCTACCCACCGAACGAACAAACCTCAGACGACAAACAAGACATGCTGCCATCTCTTCCACTTCCACGCAAGGCTTCGTTGGCTACATCATCCGTATTTGGTGACGATTACGTTCCACTAAGGTATGTTCTTGTGCTCTTGATCTCTCTGGTGTTCTACATCGCTCTTGAAGTCGACGACTCTGCCTCACACCTGTGCTCTTTCTTTCTCGTTTTGCCCCTTATAGTTCCCCTGGTTCGTCTCGAAACAACAACGCTGCCACTGGGTCTTCTGACGGCCGTCCTTCTCTATCCGATCGCCCTCCCCTATCTTCCCCTGTCCGCTCTTCTGGTACTTCAACATACTCTCGCCGAAAATTTCCAACCATAGGACAACACCCAAAACTCCCATCAGTCGAGCCCTTGAAAATTGTCAAACGTCGTGCCGGTCACACACCCTTAGATCACCCTTCTGGCTCCCCAACGTCTCCTTCTTCCGGATTTGCGAGTGTGCCTGGTCATGTTCAAGAATTACTCATAGATTACTCAACCGCACCACCACCTCCTCAAATTCTCTCGGCGCCTTTAGGAAGATTTAGAAATAACTCAGTCGGAGAATTTGCTCAAGCTAGTGCATTTTCTGTTGATGGAGCTTTCAAAAACAACGAGACCACTGGATATGTTTATAAACCTTCAGCTGTTGTTCTTACCGATGAATACTATTACTCTCAAAATCCAATTCAAGAACCCCTACAAAGATCATCTAGTCTATCCCGAGTCCGTAAAATGTCTGGAAGTCTTTTCAAAAAATTAAAAGGTGGTGAAAACAAGAAATAATTATACAAAATAAAGTAAACTTAGAATTTTTCACATTTTTTTACAATTATCTGTCTAGTCGTACTTTTTTTCAGTAGTCACTCTTTACATATTTTTTAAAGTCATCTGTTATCAGTCGATCATTGATCATTTGTTTAATTTGAATGTGGATCTTACTTTGTGAAACAAGGGAATTTGGAAATTTCATTGGGTTTTGTTATGGACTTTTGGCACATATGGGATACTTTGACTTGGTGAGGTTCCAAAAACGAAATGTAAACCAGAGTATGACTCCTGGTCAATCAAAGGTTCATTTTACTGTAAGGAAGAGCTGAAATAGTCATGAGATATTGACTTGAAAAACTTTTGAATTGAATCTTTCAATCTATTGCTGTACCCGAGTTTTACATACGCGCCTTTTTCCTCTGTGATGATGTCTCGGTTGCATGCTTCTTTCATTCAGTCTGTCCTTCTACAAGCCTGAAAACGATTTGTGATTTGAAAAACTTGTGTTGCAGGATTGTTGTCAACAATCCCATTCTTGACTTTCTTCGTGAATTTGTTCCTTGATCTTTTTGTACTTGCTCTCGGGGTAAAATCCCTTCGTGGGTTATGTACTGTCAACACCTTAAAATGGCGAAGAACATCGTGAATTATTCAAGACAGTGCTAAAAGACAAGGAATCTTCTCAAACTCTAACACTCAAAGTAATGCAGACCCAATCTAACCTAAGGGGAATAAGTATGTAGAGTAAAGCAATAAAGAACACATCAACTAAATGGGAAGTAACACAAACAAATGATAAAATATATATTTAAGTTTGTAGGAGGATAAAGTGGTTCAAACGAGAAACACCATAATGGGTGTGATACCTTGTGACAGTTGATACCATAAAGTATTATGGCATAGTGAAATAAATAACTCGGTGAATTCAAAAGAAAGAACTTCCTGTCTTTCCAAAGGATGGGGAAAGAGACTCAGAGCAAAGAGAGCAACTACGACACATATAATCCAATAGAGAAAAACAATAACGTGCTGGGAATGATGATCACTTTGATTTAGTAAAACTCATACGAGGATGACACAAGAACCATTCAGAAAGTACACAAGCTGAACTTTAACAACACTACACATCTGTGTCTTTATCAATAACTGCGACTGCCATATGGCTTAATCAGGAAATTGTGACAAGTATTGTCATGTCAGCCCTGGGTACATATACATGTACCCAAAACTAACTTATAATATAGAACTTTCACTTAGAGCACCCACTATGGTGGGAGTGTTTTATCGTAAAGTTTGCGTTCCTGAGGGCAAAGTTTGATCATGCGTGTTTTACCAAAGTTGGTAACCGCGTGAAATCCACTATGGGATGATTTATTGTCTGCTTTCCCTAGTTCCTACGATAAATCAAGTCGTAGGCTTGCGTAAATCTGAGCACACGAAGTGCAAGACTTGACGCAGCCGTACGGACCGCAGGTCTAAAACAGGTCCATAGTGGACCTGTTGGTATTTTAGCGTTAGGGTAACGCTAAATCACCGAGTTAACGCAACCATAGTGGGTGCTCTTATAAACCTAATTACATGTACATACAGCTTATAAAACACATGTAAAATATAATAAAACATATACAAACATCAATTACATATACATATACATTTAAAAACATATGTAACATGTAATACAACACCAATTACACCTCATAACTCAGTGTCAAGAGTTAAAATGCTTATACTACATAAATTACATAACATGTATATGTAATTATGTAATATTAATAATAATAATAATTGATAATAATCATTGAACCCTAAACCACAGTAATGATACAATCAAATATCACTACAATTAGGTTTGGAGAGGAGAGTATATAACACCGCGGGAATTAATTAGCTTGAACCCTGATCGAACCAAATTTTGGTGTCCGGGTTCAAAATTTCCTCAAATTGTGAATTTCGTTCACAACTTGTTTGCAATACGTTTGCCAATTTCCCTTGAGTGGTACTCTGCTCGCCCTGTGTATGCACAGCCACATCATACAACAACAACGCCTTCAACAACAGTCACCACACAATGTTCTGTGTGTATATATGAGCAAGACTGAGGATGCATGACAAAGGAAAGATGGCTCAATGGTCGGAAATGGGGTTGTTGTTGTATGTTGTAGCTGTACATACACGGGGCGAGCAGAGTACCACTCAAGGGAAATCGGCAAACCTATTGCAAACGAATTGTGAACGAAATTCACAATTTGAGGAAATTTCAAACCCGGACACCAAAATTTGGTTCAATTGGGTTTTGAACTAATTAATTCCCGCGGTGTAAACCCCTCCTCTCTCAGCCTTCAAGGACTTTCCCACAAGCATTTTATTACACAATTCTTTTAAAGAACCCTTTAAAGTTCCTTTGAAGTACATAATCAAAAGTCTTATAAACATGAGACTAGTGATTCACTTCAACTCTTTAAAGCAGATTCCTGCCTAAAATATAAAGTAATTATGTTCTTCATCCCTTGGATCCTCTACTTTCCCCAAGTAGAACTCTTCAGGTTAGTGACCTCCCAAAGAACTCCAGGTTAGTCACCTTTTGAACAACTGCAGGTTAGTAACCTTTATCAACTCACAGGTTAGTGACCTTTTGAACAACTGCAGGTTAGTGACCTACATCAACTCACAGGTTAGTGACCTTCTGAATAACTACCAGTTGGTGACTATAAACAACCAGGCTAGTGACCTACATATCACTCTTTAATCTATTACCTCAAAGATTAAAGGAGGGCTTTGGATCCAGCCTTCTCATATTGTATTGCCAACCTCCTTTTAAGGAGTCATTTAACTGCAGTCTGTCTGGATTTGTCCAAGCAGACCAGTTCCCTTCCTCCTCATCTTTTCTTTTCTTTATAATTTCATTGTAATTACAGTATATTTGAAATATAACCTTAATTATATAAAATTACAACTTACCTTGCCATTTTTAGTGAGCCTTGAGTATTCTTCTGAGTACCCAACCCTCACATGTCAGGCCAAACTGCTTGTTTGTATATTAGATTTTCTTTAGTATTATTTCAGCTTTGGCACCAATCCTCACAAACTTGTGATCATGATCCGCTCTCCTCCTATATCCTGATGACTGAAGATAACAATTATTGACAATTGCTGTCATAAAACTTCATGAAGATACAGTATCATCCAACAAAAAAGCCATGATACACTATGGAAGTACATGCGTAGGTTGTCCTAAGTGATCCCTTTGTCAATCATTAAATTCTGTCACGTGTTCACATTGCTGACATACAGTGGTCTCTTGCTGATGACATGTTCTATATCAACACATGCATAAAGAGCTTTGAACATGTTCAAAGGAATAGGGGTATGAGTTCAGGCTGACAAAATGACCTGGACAGACTGAGTTCCAAAATCTGGCAATACTACCAATGATGAAGGTCCTTTTGCGCAAAATTTCACACTACCTGATGAAACTTTACCGCTTTCTGTCTGGCAAGCATTTAACTGTTAACTATGAACTGGTATAGACAAGGGGAATCTGACTGTCTAATTAAAACATAGCATTGTGATGGCCAGAAAGTGGTGTTGACACAATGTGATTTCTGCCCAGTGCTCTGAATGTCAAAGTGAAGATATTCAAATAAGCGCGGGTAAACGGCGGGAGTAACTATGACTCTCTTAAGAAGTAGAAAGACATTTTTAAGAGAGCTGGTTTACAGACCAATCCTTGATCATGAAGATTTTGGATCAACTTGAGCAAACAACTGTTGAGCTGATGGCACAAGATTACTCAGGTAGGTCATTGTGCTGTTTATACATCTCCTTTTAGGATGCATCATAGGCTGGTGCTGAGGAACGCTGAGTGACTGCCATCACACCTCAAATATACATAAGAGGTTGGTCCTTGACTTGGTCTTGTAAATTCCCCAGTCAAACTTCTCCTCTTACAATACCGTACTCACATCTACATTCATCTCAATACTCCAAGTATGAGCAACCGGTTCTCTCTTCTTTGATTATGATTGAGTCTTGCTTCAACACATTTTTCATCTCATCTGCCAAAACTTTACAATTTGCAACACCACAACAACTGTTGCAGTTGACCAGCCTCAGGTAAAGGCCTCCTCAAGAGTATCCAGGCTCCCTCAACCGCATTGATTCAACAATCCGATCTGTTTTATCAGAGGCTCTTATTGTATGCGGCCTCGCACCTTGCGGGACGTTCCATCAACAAGCCAATGATACATAGGCTGTGTCTAAGAATTGGAATCTTCCCATCGGGCTGTTCATCACGGTCTTTTGAAGCAGAGACTTCCATCCTTTGAGAAATGTTCATTCCACAACTCTTGAGCTGTGATGATGCTTCCATCTTGCCAGATATTTTGTGACACTTTGCATCATCAAAAGCAAACCCAAATCCCAATAGTGGAAGGGTAACAATTGAGGCGGCCAAGACCTCAAAGATTGTTTTCTTCCATTCTCATGTTTTGTATGATGGATTCAGGCCCGTTTCTCCTAGAGCCAGATAAACCCCATCTTTTTTGTTCTGCAAATACATCAATGTGTTGGTAAAGCCAAATATTGCGCGGATTTGTTCGAGTCTCACAAATTGTCGTGGTTGTATCCAGTCAATGTTTGTCTTTGGGCACATCACATCCAGTTGGATAATATGTTCTTGAGCAAAAGATCTTGCTCAGTTGGTCAAGTCATACAACGTATTGTGGCTTTCAAATGACTTTAGTCTACGCCTCCTTTGCTTGATACTATCCCGCAAACCAAGCTTCCATGGTCTCCAAGGGATCAAAAAACCATCAAATTCATTGCTAATCCCACTGTCAATAGATGAATAATATTTTGAGGGTGGACATACAGCACTCTTTCAAAGGAAATAGTCCCTTCAGCCCCAAAGACCAGATGCACTCCCACTAAAGGCTCTGGGGCAACAACAAACACATAATAGGGCCTATATAATATTTGACGGCTTATATGTAGCATTTTTTATATTGTTGGGTGAT